ATTTAATCCCAATTCCCCCACTAAATCAGCCCCTATCCCCTCCTCCCTTGACGCCCCTAGTCTTTAATGGATTAATTTGAATTTCAAATTAATTCCCTCCAATTTCACTTAAACTTGAATTTCATTTCAGGTTTCTAAATTTCCCCCAAGTGCTTCCCCAATCTAGCAGCTCCCCTCCTATTCCTTAAGCCGGCCCAACACAATCCCCTCCAACCGCCACCTCCTCTCCCTCTTCTCTCCATTGGTGCTCCCTCATCACCCGAAAAGAATGCATGGCGGATCCGGAAGTTGATCACGGATTCTTTTACGATTCTCAAGAGGAAGTCGACATCATTCAATCACCGTTCTTCGATCCCGGATTTGGGTTCGAAGGCACCGTCAAAGAATACGTGGAGCGTATTCTCTTTACTTTGGCGGACATCATCGAAGAGCAACAACTTACAGGATTGTGGAAGATCGCAGGACGACTACCTGTCTCTCCAACTCCGGCCAACTCTCCGTTGATCAAAACCTCTGGCATCCTCTATCTTGTCGTGGCATTACTGGGCTTGCTTACTTTTGTCCTCCGCTAAACCTACTTCCAAAGAACGATCGAAAGGGAAACTCTAAGATGAAAGTTCTTATTGTTAAGTGGTGGATTATTGTTAATCGCATATTTGTTTACTATTTTCTTGTCATTATTTCGGATCGCTCTGTTAATCTAACGTGTAACCGCATGCTAGAAGCAATTCAATAACTACGAAAACTGAAAATCCTAACTTAGTGAATCATTAATGTTATAATTTCATTGCGGAAACAAATTTCTTAATAAGAACCTGCAATTCCGTTGGTCGTTTTACATCAAAACTACTGAGCTTTGGAGACTAAGGGATTATAGGAGAAGAGTTTATATGGCAAAGAATGTAAATTTACATTTAATTCAAGTATATTGCAAGATCAATGTGCCAGCTATCGGCCTGATTATTTTTTGCTTAATAAATTCCTCACAATGTCCAAATAACTATATACTCTTAAAGCCTCAGCTCATATTCTGGAAAAGAAGGTAATCAATACATGCAGCCGCCAATATACAAGAATAAAAGGCTCCTAATATCTTAGTATGAGTTCTTAGCTAGCTCCCAGTCTGCCTGGTAAATTTTCTTGTGTCCCCTGCTTATCCCAGCATGTCAAGCAATTAATAAAAAAACACATCAAGATTTTAAGTATTTATCATGCGGAAGCACCATAAGAACAGGCTCAATAGAATAACAGAAAAAGAAAAATTATAAACCCAAGGCACATTTTTTAATAAGTTTGTATCACAACTATTTATTTTCCATGCATCTCTTTAATGAAGCTCATAAAAATTCAATTATTGTCAATTTTCTCATTGAATACAACCATAAGTAGAACTGGTAATCCAATATTAGCTTCTTATAAGTACAAAAGGTCACTAAAGCCTTCCATCTAAAAAATAGATTAAGCATCACATTTCAGTTCAAATTGATTTGAAATAGCGATGATATTACAAACTCCTAAAAGATGTGTTGCATGACCCCTTCACAAAAATTTTATAACTTTTTGACAAGTATTGAACATGCTACTAATAAAATAAACAAAAAACCTCTATCATCAGTATTTGATCATAACCCTCCATTACCAACAACAACAACAACAACATCAAGCCTTTGTCCCACTACGTGGGTCGGCTACATGAATCCTTTTTCGCCATTGTGCTCTTTTAAAAGTCAAATTCTCATTTAAATTTAATAAAGAAAGATCATTTCTAACCCTCCATTACCAATCCAAAATAAAGTACTAAAAAACTTAACCAATATTACATAAGTTGAAGTCCATTTCTTCCTCAACCTCTAATCGGATCATCTTAAGATAGCAAGGAAAAGCTAGTAAATTTCATCAGCAGTCTTTTCCCCATCCATACTTTGTGTGCAAAACATTAAAATTATCAATATTCTCGCAAATCTCTGAATACATAGTATCTGCAATCATTAATCCCAAACATCTCATTTTACAAGCACAAAACTTCGATCTAAATCAAAATGCTAGTTTTTATAAGATTCTTCCTTTTTTATGGCAACTGCAAGATGTTAACACTATGCGTGTTACAATATTTGCTACATTCTAAAAAGTTTTGCACAACTTCAAGGTGTATCACAAATTTTGCTGCAACGGACCAAAATCTTCAATTTGAGTCCAAAGAATTCAAACCATTATCCCAACTTGAGGAAAATTTTTGACCCGTTAGTTAAAAGTGATGTCTGCCTACATCAATCAATGTTTTGGAAATAAGCATTTTGAGACTACAAAGAAAACAACCGCTCTGATATACTGCATTCTAGAGTGAAGTCATTCTTGTACCGTACCTTCCTGAAATGTGAAAGGAGATGAGCTACTGAAGCCGGAGCACGCTGGTAGAATCTGTGAAGTGCCATGATTGCCTTCTTCCTCACAGCCTCCTTGGAGTGGCCTAGGAGCTCCACCACCTGCGGCAACACGGCTGGGATGGTCTCTTCGTTGATGAGTTTACAAACTGCAGTCAGGGCCGCGCAAACCACCAAATAGTTGTCAGACCTCAGATCCTTCTGTATAGTGTTCACAATGAGAATGATCAGATCATGATCCTCATTCAAGAAGAGCGTGACAGCAAGATAACCGGTTCTTTTATGGGAAACGTTGTCGTCATGAGTCATCTTCACGGCATGAATATAGCCGAAGGAGGCATCATGACCCAGCATCTCCACATAGACCAGGCGTATTATGTATTCCTTCATTTTTCGACGGGTAACGTCCGGTTCTGCGATCCGGCGCTTCAAGGTCTCGATCTCCCGGAGGATGATGCGGTCCTCCTCCACCTTCGAGCGTGCCTCCCCAATGGACTTCACTAGATCCAGGAACTCCTTAGACTGGCCCCAGCCGCCCTGGGAACCCATCGCAAGCTCCCTCCCGATCGTCTTCAGCTGCTCCATCCTCAATATACTCCCAACCGTACAGGTTCAACCCCTCGAGATCCAATTCTAACAGGCAGCATGATAAACAGTAAAAAATATTCAGGAGTTCAGATAAATTACAATCGCAGTCGGAAACAATTCGTTACCTTCGATACGAAACAATCCAACTGCACTCCAAAAATTCTCACAGCCAAAGTTGTATCTAGCTCAGTTTCGAAGAACTCGTCCACTCCATTCCGTTCCCCGCAAATTAACGGCCATTAACCGCCCCTCCGGCACCACGGTGTCCTGGACCGAGATCGCCGACAGAGATACTGTATCACCGCAAATCCTTACACGACCTTATCCTTTGCCTTCTTATTCTCTTCCTCCTCGCCGCAGATCTCGACGACAATCGACGTTCGCCGTTCGCCCTGCACCTGCCCTAGCAGCAGGGAATCAGGAATCAGACGAGAAAATGTGAGAAAAAGCGCTTAATCCTCCGGGTGGGCTCTTCTAAGTTCTAAACCCATAATAGACCGGCCTATTTGATCCGTTTTGTTCCGATGTCCAACCGGTTCAGAGATGCTCATAGCAATCAGATTCAAAACCATGGTTTGTTTGTACCGACAGAATTGTGAATAACGAGTTTCTTCTAAAGCTGTGTCCTTAATAGCGTACGCAATTTGAAAATGGCTTCATCATAATGGGAAATTATTTCATGGGGAGTCTTCATATAGAGTTGTGTTCAAACTTCAATCAAATATTTATCGTGGTCAAAATATAGTTTTTTATATTACTGTATATTTCCCAAAAAAAAAATTACTGTATTGTTGAATATTTATTGAGTATTTATTGTATATTTATTAAGTATTTACTATATATTTAATATTTAGTAAAAATATTCAATAAATACTCAACAAATACTTAATAAATACTCAGTAAATACACAGTCCGAATGCAACTCTACGTCCAGACTTCGCACGTAATAAGGAACTATTGAGGAATAGGATGTAATGAATAGATAAAAGAAAATAGGACATGAACAATCAACTATTTATAAATATAAATTTATAATGGTGCTATAAAATGCTTAAATTTATTTTAAAATTAGCATTTTCAATATATATATTGATGAATGATTCAAGAGGGAAGATTATGATCTTCAAAAACCAAAAAACTTGATCTCAATTGATGAAATAATTCTTGAATCAATATGTTAATTGAAGAAATGCCCACCAATAATTGAAGAAATGCCCATTAATAATTTACAATAGCCTTTTGAGAGAGTGAACCCTAGAAAAGTGGCTAGTGAGTATGAATCTAATGCCTTATCTCTTTTGACTGCTCAAGTAGTTGCTATCTCTAAAAAATTGGATAATGCTACATTTAGTACATCCTAAGGTACACACATGCTAGTAGAGATCTATGAAACATCTAATAACCAAATTTCTTAGGGATTGAATCCTTAAAAGCTATTAACAATAGATAAAACAACCTTTATTTTAATACTTACAATCCAAGTTGAAAAAATCACCCCAATTTTTAATTAAATAATAATCCTAATGGGGGTAGCCATTAAAATCCTAACCAACTAAACCCTGTAAGAAATTGGAACCCACCTTAACAGAATCATGAAAACCCAAGGCCTAATTATCCTCCTAGATTCAACGTCAATAACTACATCAAGGATAAGAAGCCTTCTCTAGAAGGCATAGTTTTGAAAATAGAGACATAATTATAAAGTTAGGCTACTATAATAAGGAATATTGAAAATTAATGAAATTAGCTAGTTTCATAAATAATAGACCCCAATGAGCCTTGCCTAGCAATACATAGGCAAATCCTAAGAAAAAAAAAAAAAGGAGAATTGTAAAGCTATTCAGCTAAGAAGTGGAAGAGAGTTAGAAGAAGTGGTTAGGAATAAGGATCAATGTAAGGAGGAGACATATATAGAAGAACTTGTAAAACCCACTACAACTGAATAATAACCTCAACCTAATAAGGAAATAAAATAATTCATTAGAAAGGTTATTGAGAGGCCACCACCACTATTTTTCCAAAGGTTATTAAAGTAGAATGTAGATAGACAACTCTCTTAATTTTTGGAATATTTTAAAAAGTTTACTATTAAATTTAATTTATTGAAGCTTTAGAGCAGATGTGTGCTTAGGCTAAGTTCATGAAATAAATTTTAAGTAAGAAAGGAAAATTATGAGACTTTGAAACTATTGCCTTGATTAAGGAATGTAGTGCAATCCTACAAAAAAAAATTCCCTCAAAAGCTTATGGATCTAGGTAGTTTTATCATTCTTATGGTTAAGGGGATAAATTTTATTGGAGGATATTATGTGATAGGAGGTAGCATAAATCTCATGCCTTTGTCCAAATTTAAGATACTAGACCTAGGAGAAGTACAATCCAACATTATTAACATTCAGTTAGCAGACCGTTCATTCACTTGTCTAAGGGGGGTGATAAAGGATGTGTTGTTCAAGGTAGATAGATTTATCTTCCTTGTTGACTTTATTATCTTAAACATGGAGGAAGATATGGAGATACCTATTATCTTGGATATATATTTCTTAGCCACATGAAGGGTTATGATTGATGTGTAAAAGGGAGAGAGGACTATGAGGGTTAAGGACCAGAAAGTGACATTAATGTCCTAAAGTCTATAAAGTTTCCTAAGAATCACAATGAGGACTATCATAGATTGGATTTTGTTGAAGATTGTGTAGAGGATTTTCTGAAAGAATTATTAATTGATAGTTCTTTGTAGAGTTCATGATGTGAGGATGACACAGGAGAGGTAGGTGGAGTTCAGTGCATATGGTTAGTGAAATTCCTAAGTGTTTAAGGAGATATGTAACATTTTAGATACATCATATCTAGGAAAGTCCTTGAAACCATCTATTATATAAGCATCTACTCTTGAATTAAAAGCCTTGTCGGCTCACTTAAAGTATTTAAAGGATAATACCATACTGTAGTATTTAAATGAAAGCACATCAACCCACCATCTTGTATAGGTTAGTTAGTCACTAGCAAACATCAGTAAAATTAATTTTTATTTGTCATCACCAGCTAATTCCTAATCACATACCCATTTTTATTCTTAATGTTTGTATTAATTGTATGCTTAAATAAAAATATTCAATTATTTATTCAATACAAATGGTATAAAATTTAATAATTTTTATTTTACCTGATGAAATTTAATAATATTACAGTCAAAATGTTCATATTGTCTACATTTATCACATAACAAAGTTGTGGTAAAAGTTTGCTAAAAATTAAGATATTATCATTTTTGTAAGTTTTGACCAAATTAAAATGCATAAAATATAAAACACACAAAATTTTTGAATTAAAAAATAGGGTAATTATTCCTTATGAGATGAGCAAAATTCCCAATAAGGTCAACTAACGATTGCTCAATGACCTCCAAATCTATGTTTTCTTTCTCTCTCTCCTCTCTTTTTTTCTTTAATTTCATTTCAGGATCTCTGTTAAGCCGAATAAAAGGGATAAAAAAAGGATTTAATGGATTCTACAATTGGTTAAGATATTTATAATAAAATAATATATATATATATATATATATATATTTTTTATTTAGTTTTTAGTATTCAATTCATAAATTCTTTTATATCTTCAAATTCCAAGTTTAAAAAATTATAGAAAAATAACTATAAAATACTCCATAATGTTTAGGAAATTAGGTTGAAATCAATTTGCAAAAGGGACATGATGATATCAAAACTGTTACTTGTACTAATATATTTTAATTTATTAAGAATTTTTATCAATGCCTAAAAATTAGAAAAAAAAAATTAGTGCAATTAAAACACTATAATATCTATGATATGGCCAAGACTATTTGTGATTTAGACTTATAATGACTCATGAAATAAATTATTTCATTGGATCAAAATATGAGTTATTATAATCTACCCGCTTAAAAAAACATCATTCTTGATATTTTCTTAAAGATTCGTGCACATACTCGATATAAACAAAATTCGTCTGATCAAAACTCATAAAAAATACAATCATGATGTTCATTCACTATAGTAAAATCATCCAAAATCGGCAATTTTTTTTACTGGGCAAAATGAATTTGGAGATTACCTGAGTAGAGTTTGTTATTATTTTTAGAGACTAGTTCGTACCTCCTTTTACTCAACAACAAATATAGGAAGCTTTCATGAGATTGGAGAAGGGGGACGGAGCAGGGATGTAGTTTGAAGCTAAATTCATTGCTCCAGAAAGGTATACTCCATAGTTGATTAATACAACAAAGGAGAAATATTATAGATTCCTAAGGGAATTACGATATGAGTTGAGACATCCACTTATATCATTAAGGATTCAAAAATTTTTTTTTTGAGTTAGTGGAGAGAGTGAGATTGGTGGAGAATGACTTGGCTATCCGATAGTTCATATATGACATGAGTAGGAAGATATCGAGAGATGATGTAACTACATAGATAATAATGAAAAGTGAAGTAAGTTTTTAGACAATAAGAGAGGATCTGAGTCAATGTTGGAAGTATGCTAGAGTGTGTCTGATGCTGTAAGAGACATACTAGATAATATTTTTTATGACTGGATAGTCTTTCAGATGTGAGTAGTGAGGGCATCGAATGGTTGATTAATTGTCCACTACAACAATAGGGGACATGATCTCGATTCAGAGGAGAGAAAGCCAATCAAGGTTATAGATAGAGGACTATGGGATCTATAGAATACAATGAAGGGTCTGTGAGTAGGACACATGGCAAAAGATTTATTAAAAGTCAAAGAGAGCTTGCATAGTTTACTATGCTAGCTTTGACACACGTACGACCTAGAGTCTATAGTCTAACCCAGCAACATGATATAGATACACTTGGACGATCCAATTGCATTTGAATTGATTGATTGATAATTATCGCATAGTATATTGTGTGCCTGAATGACATGTGAGAGTATAATTGTTTGAATGAACTTATGATTGATTGCACGCAAATAATGATAAATCAATGATCAGTATTAATTTGAACGAATTTCAACATGTTTTTTAGTTTCGAATCATATTGATTTATTTTGATGAATTTATGTTATT